ATATGGTCATAATACATCTTTAGTTTAGCTTAATAAATTTAAAATAAATTCAAAGCGACGATAAATTACGATATAAGCTTAAAGATAAGGATTTTTAAATTATATTCATTGGTTAAATTTAAAATAAATAAATAAATACATCGATGTCTACAACCATAGAGAAAAGATTCCCTTGTTAGCCCCATTTAAATTTTAGTTATTCGTTCCTCGTATAGTCCATTTCTCTGTGTCACGCTTGTAGTTGGGACGCGATGTACGGGTGCCCTTGCGATAGCATCTCTGATAATCTCCAGTACGATCAACACCTGGATGTAAGCCATGCGGGCTACAGGGAAACATTCGGGCCACATTGTTTGCAATATGTTGATTGTGATTTACTTAGTATGTAACCGATTAATCTATACAAATAAATAAAATTGAAGTGTCTGTTTGTAATGTCAAAATTACAGCTTTTTACTAATTGCATATTAAAGTATATACGGTACTTATAACAAAAACACAATTTTTAAAATTTTTCTCTGTCTGTCTGTTTGTTCCGGCTAATCTCCGAAACGGCTGGACCGATTTTGACGAAACTTTCACTGGCAGGTAGCTGATTTCATAAGGAGTAACTTAGGCTACTTTTATTTTAGGAAAATAATTAGAGTTACGTGCAAAAACATAAAAACCCTAACACGCGAACAAAGTCGCGGGGAACAGCTAGTAAGTAACTAAAGATGATAGTCAGTTACCTAAAATATGGTGTTCGTTAAACTTTTCCACCGACTTCAAAAAGGAGGAGGTATACAATTCGACTGTACGTTTTTCCATTTTTTATGTGTTACCTCATAACTTTTTTGTGGTTGAACCGATTTCGATGATTCTGTTTTTTTTTTGAAAGCAGGTGTGTTCTTGTGGTACCCATATAAATTGTTATCAAGGTCTAACCAATAGTTTTTCAGTTATTCTAAATAATTTATATTGAAGTCTGTTGTACAAAATTTTTAATAAAACACTTACAAATAAGAGGAATTATTATAACTGTTATAACCAGGTAATGAATATGCTTAGTAACGCCACGTAAATATTCAACTATGGCTCTTTACATAATTAATTACTTAATTAGATATGGAAGCGGTGTTTTATAAAGAAAAAATTGGAAACGCGAGTTCATTTTATAATTTTGGACTAACAGTTCTAGATAGTTAGCAGATCTTAGAATAATCTAAATCAGTTACGAGTTATTACTGTTTGCAGTTTCAGACGTAGTAATATTATTTAAAAAAATTTTTTTTCGGCAAAAGTAAAGTGTTAGCTGAATATGTAATTCACATAACTAGGAGTCCGAGTGAGATGGTATTATAAACTAATATATTTTAGTAAGTAATTATAATAATGGATTTATAGATCGAAATCTTATCTAATAAACATAGGTTTCGCAGTAAGTTAACTGTACTGTTAGTAACTAATCATTTGCTACCCGCAGCGCTCCACGGGGATGCGTCAACAATTGTATGCTCTACCGCACCACTACCGCAGGGAGTTGCATGTAGGGAAGGGCCCCTTATACACCGACCAATCCACAATTCCCGGCCACCAGATAGTACCAGCACCCTTGCAATCAAACGTGCCCGTACATATGTTCGATTTCACTTTTATAAATAATAATTGCCGAATGTAGTTTGTGAAATTGAATGGGGTGTGAGCCGTTTCCCCATCGAAAACTTTATTTAAAATCTATATACGTGTGTGCAGGCGTTTTCGTTATATAACGGTGTGCTAGATTATAAATAATTTTGTTTTAATTCTAATTCACTTATCGTATACCATATCCGAGTAAAATAACACCATAATTATGTTTTACCGCAAACCCTTTTTACTAGTCCAAGTAAACGGGGCATTCCATCTTAGCTCTCCGTGGTGATAATGTATCTGCATTTTGATTTTGATCAAGGACAGAAATAAGTGTCTATGGGCCACATTATCCTTCTACCATCCTCCTATTTCTGCCGTCAAATAGCAGAGGTTACGTTGCTGATTTTCGGTATAAGAAGTGAGGAGTGCATAAGTCCATGAATTGCAGTGGACTTAAAGTGGACTATAAGTCCCATATTTTTTTGTAAACCTTCAGTTTTATAAAAAAATATGGGAGGGAAACTCAAGGTCACTCAATGAGCTAAGGATAGGGCTGTTCTCAGAGTTTCTCTGCGTGATAGACTTCGTAATGAGAATATTCGCAGTAGAACTAGAGTAACCGACATAGTGTAACGGTTCAGTAAGCTGAAGTGTCAAATGGCCGGCCATATTACGTTGTAGAGTCATGCTACAGCTATATCAGTAGTATAGTTGTAGCACGAATGGGTCGGCTCGACCAGGAAACAACCATGCTCTCACAGATTACCAGCGTAAAATAGCAGCTTAACACTGCTGTGTTTCGTACGGTGAGTGTAGAGAACCGGCGACCCTTTTTACTGGAAATGAGGCATTCCATCTTAGGCCTCACGGGTGACAACGAATCTGCATTTTGATTCGTAATCGAGGATAGATGTAGATGTCTATGGGCCACAGTAACTACTTACCTTCAGGTAGACTGTGTGCTTGTTTGTCACCCTTAGCCTATAAAAAAAATATAGCCTCGCGGCCTCTTTTATCTCAAAATTTATGTGAGAATAACTCTGAAGTATAAATTGTTTAATACTTAATAAACCATTAAAATTGACCCACAAATAAGTGGTAAAATTACAAAAGTTTGCACAACCAACTTCAATATAAACTATTAAGGATAACTCAAAAACTACTGGTCAGATCTTGATCAAATTTATATGGGACCACATGAGAAGTACCAGCTTTCAAATGAAAAAGAATCATCAAAATCGGTTCTCCTAGAAAAAAGTTATCAGGTAACACAAATAAAAAAAAACATACAGTTGAATTGAGTACCTCCTCCTTTATGAAGCTTGTTAAGAAGGAAGATACAGTTGAATTGAGATCGTACTTCTGTTTTTCAAGTTACCTAAAAACTATATTTCTCAAACGCATAATGCCTGATGAATGCTCTGACTGGATGATGGTAAAATACCAAATAGATAATGGGATTGGTAATAGGTAAAATGATTCACGCACTGCACACTTTTAGGAGCGTCGGTGCTTCACGTCAGCTGTATGTTCTTTTACGCGAGTTTACATCAAATTCTACGATTCTTATCAAAGTTATTCATTCTCATTTTGCGCAGATTGGAACAAAAATTACTATTAAAAAGCTGAAGGTAGCTGGGCTAAATATGACATCGAGACGTCAAACACCTCAGTACTACTGAGTGATGTAAAGCGCCCGAAACACCGGGATCAAAAAGGTTAAAATTAAACGTGATAACATACATAAAATCCGTTTCATTTCATGGTGGGATTGGTGATGGGGAGTAGCATCATTAATCCGGCGTGGTTAGTATAGTCAGATTTCCGAAAACTGCATGTTAGTGTAGCATAGCAAACTTGGAAAAGCCAATATCCAGCAATTTTTGGAACGAAGTTCCATATCGCACCGTTCGGACTTCGCGGATGGGGGCTAGGCATAAAAAAGTGTGAAAGTTTTCCGTCACGACCCTTAGGGGCTATAAGGAAGTGAGATGGAATAATATCCACCTGCCTCGCACTTTTTCTTATCTTGCCATGAAAGAAATATTATTTTAAATGACGCTCCATTTTAATAGACGGTAGTCATTAATTTATTTGTTTTTGTTAATCAATAATGTAATAGGTTTGTCAATAATAATATACTACGAAAGGAACTTTATTCCAACCGACTGTTTCATGACACTCACGCATGGTTTTTTATTTAGCTGTTTATGTATAGTCCATACAGCTCAATAAAAAAGACGATGAATGATTTTCGAGATTGACTCGCATTGTATAGTACTCGTATTACAAATTTGTTTTATAAATACAATTACATTTCGGTAAAAAATCTCACACTCCTAAAAAAAGCCTTATATAATAAAAACATTAATCAACTTTTAGATGTCTAATTAATGAATTTTCCAACTGGCCCACTATTTTAATTGTTCGACGTTGTGACACAGCGCTTTTGTAATAATTTTTGTTAGAGTTGCCTTTGTTCATGAACGCCAACGAGACTGGTCCAAACAACCATTATTTGTTTATCAAATTCACATTAAAGCTTGCAGTACTCCACGTATATAATTATAATTTTAGAAAATAGAGATGTCGTGTGAAACGGCCGTTGTTGAAGGCAAACGATATTAATTTTGGTAACCGTGGGCCGAGTGACAAAACGCTTTCAATGTCGGTTATTATGATGAGTTGATGCGCCCATGATACTTAAGATCACGGTATCTGTAACATTTGTGATTATGTTAGTTGAATTGTGGAATTGGAATTGTCAAAGCAAACGATTTACATTTATTTTATGATTATTAGATGTGATTTTAAAATATTAGCTTTTTAGGTTGTTTTAATTAATTATTGATGCAAAATAATACAGGATTGTAAAATGTGTTTGTTATAAGGTGAAATAAATTGTTCCTTAATTTTTTTTGGTCTCTCTCATTACATAAAAAAGGATTTGCTCAAATTGTCACTGGATGGGCGTATCGTAGTATAAGAAGGCCTTTAACCTTTAACCTTTACGCTGCTATCCTGTACAGTTGACTATCGGAAGCCATGAGATCTTTCTGGCATTCTTAGTCGCCTTTTACGATACCCACGGCAGTTTCGCAATACAAGTACATCTTAGTTCAGTGATACATATTAATAACTATGAAATATAAACATTTGAGGCGAGCAAAGGCGTTGCGTTATTTGGTGCATTATGTATGCATTATATTGTAAAGGCAGTAGTTTCAAATGATTGGTAAAGAACTAAGAAGAAGGGACTTTTAAAGTTCAATTAGATATAAGAATCAATAATGCTGTTACGTATTATGTTATCCATAAAGTTATTATGTTAAATTAAGACTTAAAACTTATAAATCAATGATCTAATCAAACATTTTCGTGCGCAGGTCGGACGTTAAGCGGCGGCAGTGGGCAAGTGTGTCGACCGCATTTCCACACGCCGCTACACCCTTGGCTAGACTCAAAGGCGCTGGGAGGCGGCGCATGGGGCGGCGGATTCCAGCAGGATGCCGCGCAAGCAGACAAACCCCTTTCCCCTGCTCAACACCACCATCCACACCCCCTTTTCTCCTTCCCTCCGACTCCGCCAAAAGACTCAACTCCCGACTCCGTTGCGGCAGCGGCACTCGGCCAGCAAGACTACCAAGCCGCTGTTGCTCACGCGACCGCTATGAGCGTCGCTTTTATGCAGCAGCAACAGGAGCTACCGCTATGTGGCGACGTCAAGCCCATGATGGGCGCACCGCCATCGAAGCAGCGCGAAGGTGCGCAACCAGACTCGTGCCCCCAAGAGTCGAGTCAGCCCTCTGGGGAATACAACGCGCAGTACAACGCCGCCGGCGGCGATTACTACAGCTACCAGGGGAAGGGGTACAGTCAGCAGCAGAGTAAGCCTCGACCGAACAAGACGCGAACGAGCGCCGGTGAGTCCTCGGGGACTGTACGCACTGCACTGCTCTCGCTCGCACTCGGCACAAATAACTTCAACATACGTTTATCCGACCACAAATATATACCTTTTCCGATATTTGTTTTTTTAAATACAAAGTGCTCTGTACACTATTGAGATCTCGTTGTTTGATCATATCATTTTGTTAAGTAAAAAAATAAAAAAATTAAAGCACCTAATTTAGAAAGTAAATCGATGCATTTTATATTTGGTAGGTTGGTTGTACATATTGCCATGTACTTAGCAACTACCACTAAATAAGGTTTATATTAACAATGCATATCTTCTTTAATCGGTTCTTAAAATCAACTGAATCTAAACCTTGTTGTAGACGCTGCGAAACGGCAGTAATTAAAATCTCACCACAGATTGTCTCGTTGACGCTTGCGAATGCTTCACGATAATCAAAACAAGATTAATATTTTATTTCTTATTTTTGGATGGCATTGTCAAATAATTGTATTGGATGAGATGTGGTCGGATAAGCGTGGGATCTCGCACTGGGGGTTGTGGCACTACATTATCTCGTCATATATCGCGATGACATCGTATTGGGAAGTGGCTTAGGTTTTCCTTGGTGTGACTAACGCTTGTACTAACTTATTGGTGTCGGTGGTGGTTTAGTTATATTTTTAACAGTTATGGTGGTTTCATAATAACGTTTATAATATTTTGTACTAAAGTTATTTTATCAAAATACTTAAAATACGTAATTTTTTTTAAAAAAAAAAAGGTAGGTTCTTACATGTGATTGTTGAATGAAAGGAGAGTAGACATTTATTTTATTTTATTTTATTCGGAACACACAGCATTGATACGTTGTACTTATTACAACATTTAAAATTGACCTAAATATAAAAAGGTTTTAGCATATAGAACATAAAGTTTAAAATCGTTTAATAAAAAAGACTCATCAAAGCTCATACGAGATAACGATAAAATCCTTATGTAAATAACTTTTACAAATGCCGTGTTAAATTCGAAATTGCAAGTTACGGTTTAAGCTTTTCATTGTTACACGGCGACATGTGAACAGCCGCGGCCTCTGCAGGCAACCAAACAAACCAACGGTTCCCATTACTTATCTAATTGCACTGCGCTATTGTTTTTACGTGAGTAATTAAACTAATGCCTCTTAACAACATTTCTACTCAATCTTCAAGACGATTTTCGAAATCAACCCGCAGGCCTGTTTCCTCATTTCATTTGCAAAACACGCGGCGCTCATATATTTCAACAGTTGCGTTTTTGGTTTTACCGCTTTAAAAACTTCGGCTCCGAGATATATGGGTGCAGTAAGCGGGCAGTCGCAAGCTTCAGCTCAGCTCTGTTCAATTGACCTTTAATATTAATGCGACCATTGTTACTACCGCCAATTGGATGCAAAGTTTTCGCAAGAACAAACTTAATATTATTATGACGATTGTAGTACATTGCTGAGAATTACTCAACAGTAATTGTATTACGGTGGCCAAAGTCGCCGCTTTATTTTATGCATAAATATGCAATTAGAACTCTCGTAGTTGTTAAGCTTTGACAATGGAGAGAACAAAAAGCGGCAACCGCTTATTGTCTCTCATTACGGACAACCTGTGTATTATGTAGAGTGACTGCTAATGTGGAGTACCATTGAATATACCGGCGTCATTATGTTTATTCAATATTTTGTGAAATTTTAAGTGAATTAACATTACGTTTCGATCTCACGAGCATCTAATCTAATCTTGCTGATGGAGTTCTCAGAGAATAATGAGACGTAATGATAAAACGGACACGCCGCTAATTATGCAGGAAAAACTATTTTACGTTGTCAAAACATCATTTATACGCGAAAATGTTATTTATTAAAGCCAACAATACTAGTAACGGGAATGTTCGTGTATATTTTAGACACAACATAAACACATGCACATTAGATTATGAAGATAACCATTCATCAAACATTAGTTAGCGTAAAGTTTTATGTAACAATGGTTTTTGTTAATAATCAGCTAACATTCGTATTTTACAAGTTAAGGAAGTAAACGTGTCCCGTAGCAAAAGAATGTCGAACAAGCTAAAAGGCCATATCCCTAAAAGCATCCATAGGCTAGCTCTTACAATAGTAGTGGGACACGTTACCGCAATGAAGACGATACTGTTGGATATGTTTAGTTAAGAGAAAATATCATAGTTACAACAAGCGTACTCGCAGCAGACTTGAAGTACGAAACAAGACAACAGGAGAGTAATCTACGATTTTTTGGTAATGTTTTGTTCGAAGGCTAGCAGAATACGGGGATACGTTACCCACAAATGCCTAAATATACAAATATCCGAAGCTAGACTTACTCGTAGCTGTATGTCGTTCTTCCAGATTTGCGAACCAATGGTATACTTGAGGACGTATATGTAAAATAGCAGCTTATTGCTGCTGTGTTTCGCATGGTGAGTGTAGAGCTACGGATAGACTTTTTACTGGAAATGAGGCATCCTATTACACTACTCAGGGGTGAAAATGAATCTGAATTTTGTTTCTTACTCGAGGATATATCTGGAAGTCTATGGTCCACATCATTCACTTATCCCAGGTGCATTGTGTGCTCGTTTTTCACCCTTATTCTATAAAACGAAACACGAAGAGGAAGAAGAGTTTATAAAATGTTTAATTCCTGTTATTATACACGATTGAGCCAAGCTGCTTTGATATTTTTAATAATGAAAAATGGTGTCATTGGGCCACAGTATTCACTTACTATTAATTGGACAGTGTGTTCGTTTGACATCCTTACTGACATCATATTGACTACGTCTTATATTATATATATTGTAATATATACTACTTATTCAAGAATGGATTTACCATTTTGAATATTAAGTATAAATAGTAAGATATTTGCACCAACTTTTTTCTCGAATAAATACAGAAGCGCATTATAACACGATTATATAAATTTGAATGGATTGCACGTTAAATTATTATAAAGTATTAAATTTGTTCTATATTAACAATTTACGCATCGTTAACCTGTCCCGTTCGTTCCCTTAAACTAGCTTGTGTTACGTAAAAAGAACGTTATTTACTGTTCAAGATGTGTTGTGTAATTGGAAATTGGCTATTAGCTTGTTCATTTAATCAACGGTACATTGTGTTGCCATGTAAGTAACGTTAAATAATTTAAATAATAGCTTCTGTAATCCATATATATATATATAAAAGTCCACGGCCTAACATAGGCGTCCTCCATTTAGATGCCACACTTGGCAGGCAGGGTTGCATGCTGTTTTCGTTATTTAATTATAACACCTTTTTCATATCATCATGGGCTCTTACCACTTTAACAGATCGACCGAAGTCTATAATACTTTTCGAAAATTGTAATTTTCAAAACGAAAATTTTCTCCGAACCCAACTATGGGCGGTTCATTGACTCCAGAGTCAAATCAGCCGCAAATAAACTTGGTGTCCTTGCAAGGGTGCGGCGGTACTTCATGCCGGGGCAGCTTCTTACCTTATATAAAGCGCAAGTCCAATCGCGCATGGAGGACTGCTGTTACATATGGGCTGGTGCTGCAAAATATCACCTGACAGCGTTGGACTCAGTTGAGAGACGTGCTAAGAGGTTCAACTTGACCTTGATTTGGTTGAAACCAATCTTGTCAGCCTCGAGCACAGGCACAGAGTAGCCTGTCTCTCGGTACTCTATACGCTGCATTTCGGTGAGTGTGCGCAGGAATTACACGCTTTAATTCCTCCCTATCCTTTCCACCATCGGACAACCAGGCAGTCGGCCGGTCTTCATCCGTTTTTTGTCGATATTCCACGCATTAGAACCAAACGGTTTGTTTCATCTTTTGCAATGCGTACAGCAAAGGAATAATTTGCCGGCGTCTATTTTTCCGCACGACTACAATCTGGGCGTCGTCGAGACAAGAGTGAATAGGCCTTTGTTACGCTAAGACAGTGCGATTTACCATCTAAGGCTACATCACCACTTACCACCAGGTGGGATTGTGGTCAAGCACTGGCTTATAATAAGTATAACCTTTTTTAGAATTTGAATACGGGCCTCTTAGAATATTATTCTCGTTTAAACAATTAAAAAAAGTTTAAAAACAAAAACTATGTTGGTTTAAAGTTGACACGTCGTTAACAGAAATGGAGCTCACGCGTGAAAATTTAAAATACAATATAAAAAAAATTTATAAAAAATATAGTTTTAAACATTATTTTATGATACTTAGTTTTGGTTAAGCTAACTTCTTGTTGGAATCAAATGCAAGTATCGATTTGAATGGATATTCAAATAGGTCGCGTGAATTGCGAGTAGCAGTGTGAATGTTGCTGTATCGGTCGCTAGTACTATCCGGCAGTTCCTTAGTGGAAGCAATATTATGATAATGCGACTCGGCCGGATGTGGCCCATTCCATTGTTGCCGATCGCTTGACCTCGAGCCTCCTTACATTTCTGTGCTATAAAACAAGATACGAGAAGAATTAAGAGCTTTCAAATCTAGCCGTGTTACGACATTTTAAATGAAAGTCTAGAAACATTAAAAGGAAGGTTTTAAACTTTCAAATTTCGCTTTAACTTTTCTTTCATCTTTCATATTTTCATATTTAGTTAAAACATAAAAAATTGAAAGTAGAAATCTCTTAAAGGATTGAAACCGTTTAAAAAGTTGGGGAGTCTTTAAATTGCCATCTAGCTTACTGTTTCTTAATATTAAATGAAAAGATTTGACGGTGATTAAAAACTTAGGTTTTGAATCATTTTCATAACATTTCTTTGGCCTTTGAAGTAAATTTTTACAAATAGTGTTTGTTGTATTTTTGTTTAGAATTATGTTTGAACCTTTCAATAAAATATTAAATAAATAAAAAATCACTATATTAAATAATATCCTTCCATGATATTTTTACCTTTTTCTTAAACTTCTTTGTTTCTCATCTTGACCTTTAGAGAATAGCAAAAATTCAAAGAGAAATATTTC